GCGGTGGGGCCGCCGCGCCTCCCCGGGATGGGCACGCGTGCCGGGGCCCCTTCCCCTGGCTTGTGTGTGTGCGTGTCTCTTTCTCTCTCTTAGTCATTTTTCATCAATCCCCCACGTCTCTCTCAGTCATTCTCATCCATCTCTACCCCTCTTTCTCTCGCTCGCTGGCTCGCCCGCCGGCCCGCCCAGCGAAGGCTTTGCCCGCATGTGGCACTCACATTTCAGATCCCTGGGCGCCCCGGTCTCCTGGAGGAGACGGCTGCGGGCAGCGCCAGAGCCCGCCAACACACCAGAATGCCATCCAGATCGGGACTAACGCCCGGGCGCGCACGCGCGCGGCGCGGCCCGAGCCCCGGGAGCCTTGCGGAGCGCCCTCCGCCTGGTCACATGCGACCGGAGGAGGGTCACACCGCGGCTTCCCCTGCCTCCGGGCTGGTTGGCGGCGGACCGGGGCCCGGCACGGCTGCGCCGGCGCGGCGGGGGGGACGCGCGGCCGGGCGACCGCCCCCCACCGGAGGCGTCTAGAGCACAGTGTGTGTGCTGCCGGGCGCGGGGCGCGCACATGGGCATGTCTGCCAGTGGGCTATTTCCCCTCATCACAGGCGTGTCAGGCAGTCGGCCGAGCCTGCGCCCGTTTTTTTTTCCGGGACCCAGCCCGCGCACGATACACCTTAACACCTGTGTGTGTGTGTGCGCGGGGGGGGGGCTTGTGCCGCCGCGGCCCCGGGGGTGTGCGGTACACCCGCACGCGCCATGTCACATCTCCCAATTTCGCGGCGCCCCCGGCCGCCAGGCCTGGGCGCCTTTTTTTTTTTTTTGCGTGCACTCGTGCGTGCGCCTGTGCGCAGCAAGAGGCAGCCTCGCGGGGGGCGCCGGGGCGGCGCGCGCAGCAGCCCGAGTTCGCTGCGCCCTGCCACCCTGGCCGGCGGGTCCCGCGGGGAAGGGGGCGGGGGCCGGTGTGGTTGCACCTGCACGCGTCTCGCCCCCCCCCGGGGGGGGGGGGGGGGAAGACAACTGGAAATGGGCCCACCCCGCTCCCCCCCCCGGCCACTCGGCCCTTGTACAGAGGCGCACACACACACACACACACACTCAGACCCAGAGGCACCGGGGACAGCGGGCCTGGTCACGGGGTGGCCGCAACTTCACCAGATAGCCACGGCTGCCGTGGCGCCGGTTGCACGCCCCGCCGCGCCGGCCAAATGCGAGAGGCCCAGTCAGGACAGCTGTGTGTTGTTCGGCTGCCGGCCGATCGCCCTGTTCTCCGGCGGGCCCGGGGGTGTGCGTGCAGGGCCTTCTGCGCCCTTTGCCGCGCGGAGGGGCCGCGCGCGCGCATCCTCCCCACGCACGCCGGCGGCGCGGGCACACACGCGCGCCCCCGGGGCTCGGGGCAGGCCGGGGAGATCGCCCGGCCGGAGCGCCGCGCAGGGGAGGGGGGATACGCCCAGCGCGTTGGGGAGCATTACCCCTGGAGGGGCCGGCCCGGGGCGCGCGCGCGTGCCGGGGGGCGGGGGCGGGGGCGGGGGCGGGGGCGGGGGGGGTATGTCTCGACCTCGGGCGCGGGCATGCAGGCGCGCGTGCAAGCGCGCCGCTCTGGCTGCCCGGCGGGGGGGCCTCCCCCGGCACGGAGGCCCGGGGCCCACCCGGGGGGGGGGGGAGGACATGTGCACCAGCGGCCGGCCTCGTTCCCCAGCCGCTCGGCCGCTTCTTGCCCCCCGGCCCCGGCGGCGGTGGGACCAGCCCCGACTTCCGCGCGGCCACCGGTGCCAGTCATCTTCCTGCTTAATCCCCGCGCGCCCGCTAGGCGGCCTCCCTGCCCGGCGGGGCGGTCTTGCCGTGGCCTTGTCCCCCTCCCTGGCGTTCCTGGGCGCGTGCGCCTGGGGTGCGTGTGTGTGTGTGTGTGTGTGTGTGTGTGTGTGTGTGTGGGGCCCTGCGCAAGCGCGATGCGACCCGAAAGAGGCGGGCGGAAGGCGGGCCGGGACCCCGGGGCCAAGGACTTCCCTCTCTCTCTCTCTCTCTCTCTCTCTCTCTCTCTCTCTCTTTTGCCTTCTCTCCGGGGGCGGGCGCAGGCGAGGCGCACCGCGGCCACCCGCCCCCGGAGCCCGAGGGGCAGGGCCGGAGACCGCGACCCGGCGGTCCATTGGGACACGGCGCCCTCTTCGCGGCGGCGGCGGCGGCGGCGGCGTCTGTCCCGGGTCCACATCCGCCCGCTCGCGCGTACGTGAGCCTACGCGTGAGCCTATGCGCGCGCACCAGCCCCCGCCATGGCCCCCCCCCCACCCCCCGTTATTTGTCCCCTCTCCCGGGGCGCGGGCTCGCCCCGCCCCCCCGCGCCCCTGATATATTACCCCATTCGGCGCTCGTTCCCCGGGCCCGGGGGTCGCGGCTGTTCCTCGCCCGCTGTCCGAGAGGCGTCCCCAAGCCCCAGGCCCGCAGAGCGGCCCCGCCGGAGGGCGCAGGGGCCGGGCCGGGCCGGGCCACAGCGCCCAGCATCCGCCTCCCCTCCCCGGGCGAGGGCAGCGCCGGCCCTGGTGCCGGCCCCCGGCCGATCAAACAAAAAAGCCGCGCACCACCGGCCCCGCCGCCCTGAGGGCGCGACTCGGCACCTGCATTCTCTTCGCCCCGCGAACCTCCCCCCCCCTCCCCCTTTTCTCCCCCTCTTCCTCTCTCTCCCCCCCCCTCTCACTCGCCGCGGCCCCTGCCAACAGCCACGCTCCCTCCCGCCTGCGTGTCTGTGTGCGTGCTCGCCTCCCGTCACGTCCCCGACCTCGGGACCTCCCCCCCGCCTCCCGCCTCTCCCCCTCCTGCGGTGAGCCTGCGCGGTTGCTGCCTCCTCCCCCCCCGAGTGGCATCCCCACGCGCTGGAC